CCCCTACCATTGCCAGTCCCCTATCTCAATTTCTACTTGCACTTTGTTCTAGGGCACGATTGCCTAGAGACGTGATGGGATTACTCTTAAGTGCATAAAATTTGTTTTAACTTCCCCCAAATAAGGTCTGAATACCTTTCCAAACATCACCAACATCAATTTAAAAAACCAAACCAGAATCTCGGTGTTCCTTTGGTGACCGGCATGTTAGGCTTTGAAGAATTTTGACCAACCACCGTTAGGTTTGGGGCTGGACGCTCATGGAAATGCCTGTATTACAGCCGTATCAGTTCCGGACGTGAAAGGAAACAGGCAGGCATTTCAGACCCAGAGCTCTCGATTAACATAATGCCGCCCCTCAGACACTGAACTAGCCCCCATTTATGCGCCGCTACTGAAGTATCATTTGTCCTTAGTATCACCAGTGGGATGCTGTGTGGGTGGGAAATTGACCCCGTTTCCTGGGTGTGCGAGAGATTAGTGATTGGGTGTTTGTACGGCTGACTCATCTGGTTTCTCCACAAAATGTAGTGCAGGCGACACACGTTAGTCATTAATGAAATTGAGATGTACTGCTGAGACCCAAAGAGCTTTCTGTCAGGTGAGTACCAAGGAATGCAAGAGCCGTTCTTCCTCCAGCCCACACCCATCACCACAGCACCGTCCGTCCGTCTGTCCGTCAGGCTGAGGTTGGGCCATTCACTCACCATTATTCTCACAAGATCTGTCTGGATAGCAAGCTGGACCCAAGCCAAGAAAAGTACCCCCTGCATCGATGTATAATAAAGGGAGAGGGACAGGCATAAAGTGGGCACTGTTCTGGGTGCTTTGCTTATGTTCATGTTAGCCTCAAAGTAGGATCAAGAGGTAAACACTGTTTTATCCCCACTTTACAGATGAGGAAACTCAGGCACAGGACATTAAGTGACTTGCTCCAAGTCGTGCAACTAGGAGGTAGCCGAGACAGGGTTTGGTTTTAGATATTCTGTTTCCAGTCTCTGCTTTTATCAGCCCTGCTCTCTCTCCTTTATGAAGAAGGAGGAAATAGTACATTGATTTCTCATTAGGCACAGGCTATATTAATCATATCAGACTAGAAATATGACTAGAGATGAAAAAGGGCATTTCGTGAAAATAAAAGTCCATTCTACAGAAAGACCTGTCCATCCTAACTCTGGACATAACTAATAACAAACTTATAAAACACATACACGAAGCAAAAACTTTTGGTTTCCAGAACCAAAAAGAGGCCTGGGCAAATCCACAGTTACAACTGGAGATTTTAACACATTTTTACTAAATAACTGAGCAAGCAGACAAATAACAGCAAGGACATAGACTATTTGAACAACATCATTAATTTAGGCGATTCCCTGACATTTGTAGAGGTATACTATCCCCGACCACAGCAGAATGCATATTCCTGTGAACTTCGCCTAGACCATTCACTGAGGTTGATTGGGTGCTGGGCTATACAGCTAAGACAGCTACACAGAGATGTTCTTTGACCTTAGGAATCAGTTTGAAAAAAACAAACTAGAAAAGACCAAAATATGTTGGCATCAATAAGACAATTCTAATTTAGTAAAGTTGCAAAGATGAGATGACAATGGACATTAGAAAATGTTTTGAAAAGAACGATTATTAAAATGCAATGTGACAAAATTTGTTAAATGCAGCCAAAGCAGTGCTTAGTGGAAGATCCATTGCTTTAAATAAAAAATACTGGAAAAGAAAGGAAAAGCAACTCGCACACCTGTGACTCAGCTTTCATCCCAAGAAGCTACAGGAATATTAACAAATTAAGCTCAAAGAGAAAAACGAGATGATAAACAATAGAAGCCGTAATCCACGAAATAGAAAACAGGCACACACAAAATCAAGAAAATCACAACACCGAAAGTGGACTCCTTAAAAACATGGATGTCGATTAAGGATAAGAAGCAGCCCCTGCCGACTTGTTCATTTCTTTCGCCCCACTGCCCCGCCACCTTTTAAATTCTGAATGCGGAGATTGCCTGTAGTGTGGGATTTACAAAGGAAAGAAATCGTTCTCCTACAGAAATGCTTTATGCCGCCAGTCGGTGCGAATCGGTCAGTTCCCTTCGGGCTCTCGAGTCTGCAGATTCCTTGCTAACTGTTCTCCTGTCTCTGTTTGTTCCATGCTAAGCAGATGGCCCAGAAATTGGCCAAGAGCAGGAAGAAGGTGCAGTACAAACGACTTCGTCAGCTCGCTGTTGTGCTCGCTCTTTCCATCTCTTCACCTTTGCCTCTTTATTATTTTCGTGTTTTTGTTTTCTGCATCCAGCAAGTTTTTGTTCAGATTTTCTTTTGAAACCGCCCCATAGCCGGCATCTCTCCAAAATCCGTTGACGACAAGTGGCCGTTTTTTTTCCATTGTTGTTGCTCATTAGTCATTTCACACCAGAGTAACGGCAGGGAGCAGACTGGAGATGCTAAATGAATCCGATCAGAGTGGGAGCGTCTCACCCATGCAGGAGGGCTCACGTGGCAGGGACTTGGATCCGGGCAGGGCTAGCTCTGCTTGACTTGTGGATTTGTCAGATTGCTGGATGCAAAAAAGAAAACTCGCTAATCGCCACACATGTGCGGAGTTAAACCTTACATTACACAAGCGGTTGCGCTTTGGGGGGTGTGGGGCTTCTAGGTGCTTCTGAACTACTTACTCCTGGGACGTGGAGGCATAGGGGCTCTTTCGGAACGGGATGGTTTGGGGTGAGGGTCTTGTTTCCGTGGCTGTCGCGGTGGTGTGATGTGAGAACGCGAAGACCCTCTGACCAGAACAGCAGCCCGACAGCTGAGTTGGCGCCTGCTGTGAACATTGCCCCATCAGCTCCAGCACGGACAGACTGACTTTTCCGAGATGCTCAATGATGAGTTTGCCCTTCCATCTGCGGGGCCCTGGGACCCTTGCAGAAAGGGCCATTCACAGTCGCTGTCCCTAGAGTGAAACCCAGTGTCGTGTGTGCGTTAGTGCTTCTTCAGGGGGGGGGCAAACAAAGGAGGCTGTGCACCCCCAGCCTCCCGACAATAGGCTGAACGTGCTAACTCCCCACACCGCATCTCTTTAGGGATCTGATTCTGGAGTCTGCCCTGCTGTTCTGGTGAGTGGGTCTTGGCTCCTCTGTGTGAGAGCTACCCTCTCCCTGGCATCTGGGGGGAGCATTTCTTAAAGCTTCCTCTTGGTGCATCTTCCCTCTCAGGCTCCCGAAGGTGAATCTCAGCCCATGACCGAGGTGGACCTCTTCATTTCTACTCAGAGAATCAAAGTATTGAATGCCGACACACAGGTAGGAGCCCACCCACCTTTCCCGGGGGGTGGGGTGGGGGGCTACCCAGGGCCCGCCCCCGGGAGTAGCTCCGCCTGGAGGCTGTGCGTCCTGTGAGCTGGGAGGTGGGGTCTGCAGGGTCTGCTGCTGGGGGAGGCTCGGGAGTCTTCTCAGACAGATCAGAGGACAAACTTGGGTGTTGTGGGTCATAAGCCACATACCTGCTTGGCAGAGAGTTCTTGGGTGGGAACCAGGCTAGCCTTTTGAAGAATGTTTAGTTGCTGTCTCAGGCACACGTGCATCCCCCATGCCCCAAACCAAACCCACTGCCATTGAGTCTCCTCGGACTCCTAGAGACCCCGGGGGACAGGGCCGAGCCGCCCCTGTGGGTTTCCAAGGACTCTTGAGGGGAGGAGAAAGCCTCATGTTTCTCCCACACAAGGAAAAACAATAGATGTTTTACCTCCCCATCCCCTCCCCCCCAACTTCCCCAGCGTTGGTTCTCAACAGCAAAGCCAGACTCACTGCCCTGGACCATTCTGACTCACAGCACCCTGGGGATTAACAGCAGGGCCGCTAACCACCAGGCGGACCATTCAGACCCCCCCAGCTGTTGCTCCACAGCAGAAAGGTGCATCATCTGCTCCAGTCAAGACCTGCAGTCTCGGAGCGCCTGTGGGGCAGTTCTACTCTGTCCTAGAGGGTCTCTGTGGTCAGGTGATGAGCTGAGGCCCTACTGGTGGTCAACAATGAGCGCTCCTTCTTCATCCTTCAAACCTGTCACATGATTGTCAGTCACTAGCTGAGGGCAAGGCCCTCAGGCAAGGTGGGATGTGCAGAAAGTTGCCCACGAGCCC